TTTCGGAAACAGTTTTAATTATGGGCTTCATCATTTGCAGTAAAATTACCACTTAAAATGGGTCTTCATGTTTTCTTGATTGTTTGTGCTTGCGGTCCCAGATTGCCGCTGTTTGCTCTCAGGTACATGCATGGTTTTGCTAGTTTATTTTTGCCTCAGACAACCTGCCGGGGAATCATAAGCGTCTGTTTTACTGTCCGATAAGGTTGATTGGTATACCGGCACTAAAAAAGTAATTTGGCAAATATCGTTATTTGGCCTAGTCCAGTGATGGGCAAACTTGGCCCTTCCAGGCCACTTTCCTGCAGAGATTTGATCCAACCAAAAACTCACCTGCCTGTAGCTTTCTAGTAGTCTTGAAGACAATGATTAGCTGGTTCAGGTGTGTTTGATTAGGGTTGGCACTAAACTCTGAAGGAAAGTGACCTGGAAGGGCCAAGTTTGCCCACCCCTGGCCTAGTCAATAATGTTCCACTCTTTAGCATAGTTTGGCATTTCAGGCATTGTGACTTGAAGCATAAAAGTAAATGTGTTGATGTGGGAGATTCATTAAATGTTATGTTTTTTAACACATTTATCTTTTGACATTTTTGATGTTATAGCTGTTTTGTTCTGTACTTTAAAAAAATGTATAAATCAAATCCAGATGGGATTGACAAAAGTCAAGTCATATGCACTCTTTGTATGGTGGGATTTGTCATCAAAGCTAAAAAAAAATGAAATGTTGTACTAGAAAACAATCAGCAAAAACATATTTTTCATATGTAATTGTATTTTAAAAATTGTATATTATTTAATCATTGCACCTTTGCATTGGTTCAGAATTTGCATTTCCTATGCATTTTGAGAAATTTAGAATTGTACCCAACATTCTGAATCTGAATGCGCTAATGTGTTAACTGGAAGAAGTGATGAGATTAATCATGAATGATTGACACTGGGCCTATTTGACAGTCCAACAGTAGTTTAATTTCATTTTGCGTGAGGCTGTTTATTTGCTGTTTAAGATGTTGATTTAGTTGAGGTGCCAGAGGCTGGTATTGTACTGAAGCCAAAATGTTGGTATTGAAGCAACAATACTCCCCAGTTCAAGTTGCATGTAGTTAAGCCAAGAGTGGTGTCATTTATGTTCTGTGGCTAGGAAACTAGAAAACCTCACAGGCCTTATTCTTGCCTTAGAAAAAAAGAAAGAATACAACATTCTATAATGGCTTCAAAAGAAAGATGGAGAAAGTAAGACTTTCAGTCAACAAATTGATTTAAAATGTCAACCTGTCCCACTCTATATATTATTTAATTTTTGAAAAATTATAGCTTAAAAGCTGAAGTTTACAAGTGTATCATGATTTCTCATGAGTGGATTATAAAAGGCTTATGGTCAACTTTGAGAATAGCCTTGAGTCTTCTTCAAAATGTCATGGTCCACACAACAACATAAATAAAACCGAGTAATGGGTTGTCACTTGAACAATAGTAAAATAATCAAACATTTTGATGCTTGTTTTTGCCAAAAGGCACTTACTATGAATATTATTGTGAATTGAACAAACATGTAGAAATATGCTCAATTTTTTCATGTTTTCTGTACTTATTTAGGGGGTAAACATGCAGATTGTAGACTGAGTTTATATCAATATGGCAAAATATGTTAAATGTGATTAGAGTACTGCACTTTTATTAGTTTCTGAAAGCATCATCAAATTAGCCAGAGTCTTTAATAAATGAGCATGCAATGTGTATGTTGTAATTCTGCAAAGGTTTCTGTGGAATTCTGCAGGCACAGATTCTGCACTGATTTAATTATGATTAAAAAGACTAATAAAATAAAGCATTGTTATTCAAGCCACTGGGTACATATTATATTGGCTAAATGGAAATGACTTAAACAGAATTGATTTAGGGTCTTATTGAATATGGCTGAAACACATAATGAACATTCATTTTTTAATATTGTGAATTATTCAATTATAGTTTAATATAATCATATATTTAATTTCATTCCAACATTTTTAAATACTTAAAAATTTGACAACATGCTTTTGCAGGTAACGTAAAAGCAAAAACTAGAAAAGCTAGTTAATGTTGTTCATGTTGCATGTGCCTTTTTTTTACTATGTACACCTGATGTCTTTTTGTGCAATATGAAAATATACATGCAAGCAATACACTCTTAGTCATTCCTGCTGTTTTTTAATCCTCTCATAGGCACCAGTGGACAGTAAATGTCCAGTGTGGGGAAATTTTTTTTTTAAACGCTTTATAAAGTCTTGTCAGCTTCCTTTGGAAGAAACATCAGCTATGTTAGTAGTACTATGCCATCTGTTCTTACTCCGGTTATTGTTTTTTATTTCACTGCTATTTGTTGTCACTGTCAAGTGAGCAGCCTTCAGTGGATACTGATTGGTCTTAGCAGGAGTTGTTTCCATGGTATCACACAGAGCACAACAAAATGGCCATACATACATAGGCCATATACGCAATTTAGATAATCATATTTCATGGGCAAATGCAATAAAGTAAATGAAATAGATATGGGAATGGAAATGGAAATGTTCAGTTGTAGGATTCAGCGTGTAATACGGATTTTATGACCTACTGGCTCTAGCTGAAAAAGACAGGAATGTTGAGTCTTCAACAATGTTGACATGTTTCGCATGTAATGAAACATTTATTTCAAAGAGAACAAAAGGTGGAGGAACAAAAAGATGAATGTAATGGTGAAAGCTTTTTCATGTATTTGAGGTTAGAAGAATAAAGTGACTGAACAGACCTCAGCATATTGACTGTAATATGACAGCAAGTCATTCATGTTCAAACTGAATCTGATCTTAGCTAGAACATGAACTGATCAAACCCACCATTCATATGCAAATGTAATTAAATCTGCATAACATCGCTGCACATATTATTGACCTCATAGAAACGGACAATATAAACCTCGACTGATATTAATATTAATTTTCAGCCCCATGGACACCGGTCTCTCTCTCTCTCTCTCTCTCTCTCTCTCTCTCTCTCTCTCTCTCGCTCTTTCAGGAGATGTAATTAGTTCCAGTATCACGGTGGTTTTGCTGGTTCAGGAAGCTGAGTGAGTTTGACTGGGGTCCTGCTCTTTCAGATATGCTGTATTTGGATATGCTAATAGTTTGTCCTCTTCTGATTGGTTAATTAACCTCAGATGAAAACGTTCCGTCACAGGTGGGGCTGTGAGGAGTGAAGGTTGTCCGCAAACACAGTACCTGCTATAGTGGCGTTAGTAAAGTCACAGACTATCAATAGGCTGGAATAGGTTTTCCTATAACAGCTGTGTTTGCATCTGCATCCGTTTTGTGAATTATTACTCGATTTTCTTTTAGGTTAATGACAGTACTCCTGTTGACTGAACTCTAATTAGGGAACAATCATGGAGTGTGAAATTAAATATTGGACCTTTTAGACTAATATTCATTAGTGTGTTGACGCGATACTGAAGACTGTGTTCTCACACAGTCACGGCTGCAAAGGGACCACTTACTGTCTGCTTTTGATTCAAAGTCTCTCTCTATCCTTTTTTTGTGTGTGGTAAAACTCACAGTGGAAAGACAGATGCTCGTTTGTTCACTGTTGTTTATGAGTGTGTGCTCAGAATGTTTTGTCAGGTGGGAAGAGCAAAGCATTTTACCTGCCACGTTTCAGCGTGACATTTGACAGCTTGAGCGTGTTTGTGTTTTAGCGTATGTGTGTACAGCATCATGTTTTTTTTCTCTCTCTCTCTTCTCCCCCCCCTGATCATCATTACCTCCATCAGGCTGTCCTGGCTCTGAGTGCATTGCTTCTTATTCTGCTGTCATCTCAAGATAATAAAATTCACACCTGATATTTACTCTCATCCATCAC